CATATGAACTATTGAACCCTACAGTAAAATTCCATAATGTAGGAAGCAAGTCTCATACCTTAAAATTAAGATCAGAACTTTGTGCTTAATGCTTCAGGTAACACATAACACACGGCTATTGATGTTAGGCCAAAATGCTATACTTTTAGCACATTACTCGCCCTATATTTTGTTGGTTTAGTGAGTTATTGTGCGACAATTGCGCTAAATTGTGTTGTTTTATGTGTAGGAACATCGGAATGAATCATTGAATGAAAGTTGCACAAAACGTAGACAAAAAACGCAAGAAAAGAGCCAAAAGTATCAAGTAGACTAGGCTTCGCGAGTTCTATAGCCAGGTCGACCGCACTATAGACCAGGATTCGCGAGGTCTATAGCCAGGTTAACCGCGCTATAGACCAGGCTTCGCGAGGTCTATAGACTGGTCGACCGCGCTGTAAACCAGGCTTCGCGATGTCTATAGCCAGGTCGACCGCGCTACAAACCAGGCTTCACGAGGTCTATACCACGGTAGTTAAAAGACCCAAACCCGAATTTGGACCGGGGAATTGATATAAATACTTCCCAAACGAGTTATTCTAGGGTTGGACACGATTTTGGAGAAGAAAAAGGCTGCCAGGCACAGGAGGAGCCGTTTTAAGGGTAGATTCAACCAAAGGGGGCGTTTTTGGAGATGGGATTTCGATCTAAGGAGGCAAGAACACACTAGGAGCAAGACAAAGATTTCTTCTATGAGTTTTTCACTTCCTTCTTCCTATTTTCATTATTGGTTATGAATTCTAGTATTGTAGTTTTGAATACTTTTATGAATAGCTAATTTGTTATCTAGAGTTTTGATAGAATCTTTTGTAGGATAAATTCTTGTTATGTTTTTATATAATTGAGCCTTTGATTTTTCTCTACTTGTTCAACTATATTTTCATTGTTGTTAATTGAAGAGCTCTCAATTAACTGGGCATATATAGTGTGTATATTGCTTGAGAGAGAGTACACATTTAGGTAGTTGTTGAACAACACCACTCCTAACGTAGTTGAGAGATCGATACAAAGGGTTTAAAGGTGGGATTAGAGATACGGAAACCTTGGTGCGATCGTAGTGAGCAGTGAATTAGTGTCAGCCAGCGTAGTTCGAGAGAATACGGCTAGTAAATTGTGGTAGTTGCTCGAGAGAGAGCTACGACAATCAAAGTACTCACGATTGGTAGAGAATACTTAGGCGAAATTATAGAAGGCGTAGCGGGAAGGATTCCGACAATTGGGGAAATCATAACACTAGACCTCGTTAGGTTTGTCTCCAATTTCATCCTTGTTAGTTGATAATTTTACTGCTTTATAATATTTGTTAGTTAATTAGTAAAAATAAAAATCAAATTTTTATAACTAGGAAATTGTTTGGACTTGTGTTTCTTAGCAATATTGAACAACTGGTAAACCAGATTATATTTGCAAATTCGAACCTAATTAAATTTTGTCACCTAAGATGGCCTAAAGATACTCTTAACATGGTGTGATATTGTCCGCTTTAAGCTAGCACAGTTTTTCCCAAAAAGCCTCACACCATTGAGATATCTCTACACCTTATATGTAGGTTCCAAATCTTTCAGCTACTAATGTGATACTTTATTCGCACACCCAACATCACCTTTACCTCCAGAAGCTTTCCTTACGTAAAGGGATTCAATAGCATATACTCATAGTATATATATATATAAACACAAAAAGAAATTACACGTATACTAAGTTTTACTACTCCATAAGTTTTATTTAATCAGTAAGCAAAAAAAGAGAAAGCTTACATCTTTTTTTAACAGGGAGACTCTTTCGCTTCCCGTAGACATTATAGATCGTGCAGTCCAATCTAAAAGTTTTTTCTTGCCCATTTCTACCTTCCAAAATAGAATTAATGTTACAAACAAGAAAATCTGTATCACTCTACTGAAAAAGAAAAAGGTTGGTTGAAAGTTGGCTTAGAATGAACGCTACACTTTGAAGCAAACAAGGGGCACTCAGAATTTCAAAGCTTCTTCTAAAGTAGAAACAAGTGAGAAGAGCAAGTCAAAGATCATGAGACACAAAAATAAAGTGGACATTTTATGTGTGTGTCTATGGAAGATTGAAAAGTGGATGCATTGCGACTTGCGACCTGACTTAATCATCACTTATCGGTTAATGTCGCCACCTTTTAAGAACGTGAGTGTACTATGAATGTACCATTTGCAAAGCGGCTATAAAAAGGAACAAAAAAGTATGATTAGGACCATAGGAGTGTAAAAACATAATGCGGAATTTACACTATACTATGAATTATAATTAAGCGAAATTAAAGTTTTAAGGTGAGACTGTGTATTAATTAACTATTCTTTCTTTCTCACTTTATGTGATTATGTGATGTAGTTATTACTTGGAGAATCAAAAGAAGTTTCTCTTTCACCATAATTATTTTATGTCTTTTAGATATTTTGAATTATTTATTATTGTGACTTATAGTATTTTTTATATAGTTTTAAATATGTAAACTTTAAACAATTTGACCCTCCTATATGATTTGGTGATAGTTGTGTATGTGAAGAAATGTGTCATTTATTCATTAAGTTGACTTAAATATTGGTGTATGTAAATTTACCGGTTATAGTTGACATATTCTTGTACTCCCTCCCTCTCATTGTATGTGAAGTGATTGATTGAAAACGAAATTTTAGAAATAAATAAAGATTTTAAACACATAAGCCTACGAAGTTCAAAAAATAAAGAAAAACTTTTGACATATATAAGCTTAATAAATGCAAAATATCAATAAATGAATGAAAGTGAGATCTACGAAGTTCTACGCATCTTTTCAAGGAAAGTAATCTCCCTTTTTAAATAAATAAAAGAAAACAGTATAAACAGAGTAGTAATATTTAAGTATCTGTTTGCATGTAATTAATCTTGTTGGACTTGGTTTTTAATGGAATATATTTAAAACTAATGTGATATTATCATAGACAAATCTTATACTATAGGAATTGCACTAACTTCTTGCTGCGTCTTTTTCTACTTCCAATTCGCGGCCACACGGATTTCTAAATTTCAGACAGAGAATTTTTTGGGGTAATTTTGTTTTTCCTAGCATATTTTTATTCCTGTTGTTTTGTCTGTGTTTCTCTAATATTCGTTTTTTCTTTCTTTACTGGAGTACAACTAGCAAGGTTCTTGCCGCAATCAACTGGGTCCAATATCCGCAATCGTGCAATGTTTTTCACGGATTATACTATTATATATATTATATATGACATATATTACACATTCGTCAACTACTTGAACACTTCTGCTAATTAAAACAAATTATCCAAAAGCAAACAAACGATCTCTGATAGATGTGGCCTATCAAAAAATATTTATACGAGCCACACAGTGCAAGATAAGCTCTTCCGAATCAACTTTTATTTCCTGCAGTGTTTTTGTAAATAGTGGAATTAGTATAGGAGAATTTAAATGTGCCTGTGGGTATTATGATTTGTTATTGAGTTTAATTATCTTCTGAAGTTTTGTCAGAAGGTCATTCTCCTAATTTTTGTGTTAAGATTAATCATCAGTTATTTACTTGAATTGTCTTCCAGAGTTGCCACAACCAGGGGAAGAGGCACTGGGTCAGTGGCGAAGCCAGGAATTTCTCCAAGGGTGTTCAAACTTGAACAAAGTGAAAAAAAAATTTCCCAATAAAGGGTGTTCAATATATGTTATATACCTCTAAAACCTAATATTTTAACTATATATACGGTGTAATTTTTCAACAAAGGATGGTCAATTGACCATTCTTAAGGGAATGTAGCTTCGTCCCTATATATCATAGTATAATAGTTTTTCGACAAAGGGTGGTCACCCTTTGTCGACTGTAGCTCCGCCCTAACTGGGGTGCAATGTGAACCCCCTTCACCTTGTTGAATCCCTTTGGCATAAGAAAATTTCTTTTTTGAATCGCCTTGTTTGAATTTCGGGCTTCGCTATCATTCTCCTAAGAGATGTGTTAAGATTAATCTACAGACAATTCAATTAAGTTACACAGTAAGTGTAATTTAACTTGTTCTAATATGTTATATGTGACTGACTTTAAATAACGAAGCTTATTTTCTAGTTGCTGAAATGATCAAAGGATTTGGCTTAATAATCAGGGCATTTTGGTTGGTGATATTAGGTTATGTAGTTGATTACTTATATGTTGTAGGCCACCTTAACCAGATAGTGTAAAAGAATACAATGTCGTCATGCACAGAAATTAAACAAATGATCAAATTAGTGAGGTATACAGACAACGAAAAGTCTTAATGAGGATCTATTTGTCTTTGTTAGGCATTGAGATAAATATTTCTTTAACACTATCCTCCTAAGTTTTACTGACAGTTAGTAGTTCAACTGTAGGTTGAACTCCAGTCCTATTCTAAACATTTTCATGTCACAGACCAAAACACTGTTTATTCATGTTTGGAAGGATCTGAAAATAAGTTCAAGACATGTTGTACTGAACATTAACCAGTATGGTCCATATATGATATATCCTTATATTTGAGTTTTGTGTAAGAGAACATTAACCAGTTTAGGAAGTGACAAATATCTTGACAACAAAAAAGAGCCTTGTCTTGTAATCCGTATTGTTTTATTGTGATTGAAACACACATGCATTCCGTCCTGATGCGCACCTGAATTGCTGTGTTCTTGATCATCAGAAAATAGAAGAGTGTCTTCTTTAATGTCTGATTAGTTTCTGTAGAGGATGAAAAGACGTTCTCTATTATTTCTTGTAGAATGCATGATTAATTTATCATTTCCTTCTTAACAACAGATATGTGAATTATTTCCAAGCTGTCTTGTCTTGGATAAAGATTGCCCCCTAATAATTCAATTTTATCTGTTCCGAGTTCAAAAATAATCTTTGAGAAAAGAGTTCAAAATTATTCCATTTTTATTATGACATTGAGAAAAGTAATCATTTGAATTTTTTTATGCATCAATCAGCAAGTTAGTTTTTACTAACTGAAAAGAAAATATATTTAATTTTACTTCACAATTATTCATTACTGTATCACATTTTCAGAATACAGGACTTATAATCAGTTCTGTCCTCACAGAGGATCCACTCCTATGGTAGTGGCGACAATGGGACTTTTTACTACATATTTACCGCTAGTTTCCACCCAGCTCAAAGAACCATAAACAAGATAATTATCTACTAGCAATGGACCTTCTATCCTTAGCTTGTAGCTTTGCTTTTCATACTTCTCTTTGAAAACCAACTTGTCAGGTGCAACACTAACTTTATATTCATCCATTGAGGTCAATTTGGCTGTATAAACAGACATACCATCTCCTACATTAGTCACTGTCCTCTGGAATTCTTGTATCCTTTTAGGATCTGACTTACTGCTGTTATAATTGAAATAGCCTATGAATGATGGATAGTTTAAGTCCAATGATGGGTTGGAACAAGAATAAGCAGAGGACCTTGTAATGGCTTTTATCTGTTGAGATGTAAAATCTAGAGCACAGAGGAGATTGATATAGTCCTGTGATGTAATGTCATAGATAAGTCCAGGGTCTAGTGCCTTATTTGGATTGATATGGCCAGCTCCCATGGCTAGGGGACTGGCAGCATTATTGTTGCGACCGATGTCTCGGATGGGCCTTTGCGTGTTGTCCAATGCGTCGGCTGTGGTCATCATGGCCGACCGGATGGCAGCAGGGCTCCATTTGGGGTGTGCTCCTTTCAAAAGTGAAGCTACACCAGCAGCATGAGGGCATGACATTGACGTACCGGATATGATGTTGAAGTTACTGAAAAGCTCTCCCGAGTTAATTTTAGTTGCGGGTGATTTTTGAGGCCATGAAGCTAATATTAAGGCTCCAGGAGCCATCAGGTCAGGCTTGAGGATAAAGGGGCAGCTTTGTGATGGTCCCCTTGAGCTATAGCTAGCAACTTTTGGTGCTGGTTTAGTACCAAGATGTGTCACTTGAAATTCAAGTCTTGCTTTAGGTGAATGACTATTCTTGATGTACTCCAAAACTTTATCACCATCTTCAAAGTTCAAAAACACAGCTGGGAATTCGCTTTGGAGGTAGAATTCCAAGTCTGTGTAATTTGTTATGAAGACACCACCAGCAACTTTTGAGTTTCTTACATTGTACAGTTGGTCACTTATTGATCCATTCGTGTCATAGCAGATGGCGATTTTGTTTGCATTTTTCTCCAGTTCCTTCTCCTCTAGGCATGTCTTGAGAAAAACGATGGAACTTTCGCTTGAACTTGAATTCCCGGGGTAGAGAGATAAACCAGTGACTGAAACTCCATTACCTAGAGTTAGTGTCCCGATAAATTCGCGATCAACTGTGCCAGCAGCAACAGTGAGAACCCAAGGTGTTCCGTTGTGCAAAGTCTGACCGTCAGGCCCTTCATTTCCTGCTGAAGTGGAAACAAATATACCTTTCTCCATTGCTGCAAATGTGGCAATAGCTACCGGATCATCATATAGCGCACGACCATCTATGCCTAATGACAAGGATAATATATCCACTCCATCCTCAATTGCCTGATCAATTGCAGCCAGAATGTCAGATAACATTGTACCCTCATCCCACAAAGCCTTGTACATTGCCACATGAGCCTTTGGTGCCATCCCTGTAGCAGCACCAGGGGCATAACCAAAATAAGATACAGATTCTACATGACTTCCTGCAGCTGTAGAAGATGTGTGAGTTCCATGCCCGTCTGTGTCACGAGCTGAATTCATCAAGATGGTAATATTCGGATTGGTAGCAATTAGGCCTTTGTTGAAGTAACGCGCACCAATGAGTTTCTTGTTGCATAAAGAGGAATTAAATTGAGTGCCACTTTCGCATTCTCCTTTCCATCTTGATGGAACTTCAGTCATCCCATTATCAGTATAGCTTTTACTCTCTGGCCAAATCCCTGTGTCAACTAATCCAACTATAACATCTTTGCCATAGTCTGACTTTGGCCATACACCAGAATTGGAATTTAGGCCAAGGAATTGAGACGTGTGTGTCGTGTCACTTTTAACTGTCATGTCCTTAGTTGAAGAAAGATAGCCTGGAGAATTTTTGATAACTTCTAGCTCAGAAGAAGAAAGACTTGCACTAAAACCATGAATGGCATTAGTGTAAGCATAAACTATTTTTGATGAGGAAAGGGAATTTCTATTACTTGCAGTTCCAAGACTTGAACTATCTGATACAGAAGCAAGAGTGGTCAAGTACCAATTTTGATGGCTAGAGAAAGCTGTTGGCATGGCTGACAAGTCCATATGGATGATATAAGTTTCTGACTGAGCCATAATAAATGGATTTAGAGTAAGTAAGATAGCAAGGAACAAGAAATATAAGGTAATACAATTGGCCATATTGGTTAGCAATGAATGGAAAAAGGAATAATTTCTTGAACATAAGCTAGTTTACTTATATGGGTAAGTGAGAGGAATGAGAAGCCAAAAGTATTCCCTGTCTTCCAACTTCTCCATTGTCCATATTTTCTATATACTTAACTGGCAAGTTAAAAGAAACTTTGCAATTATTCCAATTCTGCTTCACTTTAAAGGAGCTGTCTTTGCCATTGCCCCATCTATCATGTCATAGTTGCTTTAGTTGTAATAAGTTTTAATTATTCAGCATAATTAATCAGAATGGTTAACAATTTGTCTACTATTTGAGTAAGATTTTACACTATCAAGTTACCTAAACGATAATTATAGGTAAACCATCCCTAATAAGCGGAAATATGGCATGGTACCTGTTACTACGTGTTAAAATACGCTAACAGTGTAAACACTAATACTATATCAGTAGTAATAAACTTGTTGCCCTCAATCATGGGACCAAAGATGAAAGATGCAGACAGGAGTGTGTCCATCATATGTAAAGCCTTAGCCACTAAAACTGACTACTAAATCAATAGATAAAAAGTAGCAGCCCAGTATATTCAGTGGTCCACATACACTTAAGCTGACGATCTAGATGACAAAGGAGAGGAGGACCAACCAAAATGGATTGTCAATGTTGTCATCTAAGTCTCCGGACAGTGGACATACATATATTTTATATTATATGCTTTTAAGTCTCGACATATACACTTATATTTCATGCTCAGCTCCAGCACTTAAAAATTGATTTCACCACTCTGTGCTTAAAACTACTTTATTCAGCTGAGACAAACAATCTTCAGTCCTTTAGCCAAATTAACAATGTCTTATTCCTTTTTATATCGCATTCTTCCTTTGATGATTCTTTTCACATTTGGAGAGTGACATCGGGATTCTTGCAAATGGAAAAAAGAAAAAGAGAATGAACGGGGAATTATGGCTCTCATTGCCTTAATAGGAGCGTTAATCATGAGAAACATTGCATACATGCTAATAATTTTTTATAATTAGAAACCACCCAATGTGTTGGCTAAATAGAAGTCATAGTCACTTTTTACGGGTAAAAAAACACTTGGTACAATCAGACTTTTATCTTGCAAAAAGTTTCCACAAGTAACATTGAGTTTCTGATATTTAAGAAGACTTCAACTCAAGCTGTCATAAAAGCAGTAAACAAGAAAACTTCAACTTTAAAGAAAATTCTTGTAAGAAAAGGGGGGTTTAATTTAAACATGATAAGGGAATTTTTTTTATGGTCATGAGTCATTTTCTATCTATCAATATGGGAAGAAGAAAAACTTGCAATAAGTTTTTAACTGTACCATAGAATTTTGATATGTAAGAAGACCTGAAGTCAAGCATGTCCATAAATGCAGAAAAGCAAGGAAAGCTTCAACTTTTTCTTGTGTTTATTTCTTGAGTCAAGCATTACTCATTTTTGTTTCAATTGCCAAATTCAATCTCTTTCGAAAAGTAATTTTTGCTTGTTAACCAAACACGAGAAAACGTTTTTCGTAAAATGAATTATCCTCCCAAAAATATTTTACAGAAAATGTTTTACATGGTAGCGAACTCTCCTAAGAAAAATAAAGGACGCTATGTTTGGGCGAAACATGTGAGCCTCGTCCCATCATATTAATCAATGGGAATTATAAAAAGAAAGTGTGGTATAATGTGTCTTCTTTTTCAAGACAAAAAATCATCAGTCGCTTTCACAGTTTGTGCCAGTGGTGAATATTGACACAATCAATTTCCCACTTGTATTATCTCCAAATACTTTTCCTCGCTTCCCTAATCAAAGTCGTTTCATTTAATAATCAGGACTAGTAATTTGCTGCATCAAGCTCACCGATAAAAGATTCATATAACAAGACCTCAATTAATTTGAAATTGACGTGTTGTTGGTTGAAATTGAAACTTACCAACCTTGGTGAATAGTTCAATCTGCCTAATAAGTGAAGGAAAATTTCTCTATGTTCACTTTTAATTGTTAAGCTCTCTTTAAGAAAAAATAAATAAAATATATATTTTACAATTTTATCCGTAACAATGATTAGCATTCCCAAAAGTCTTGGGGAATGAGTAGTTAATAATAAGGGTAAAACAGAACAAAAATAAAAAGATTGTCTTTCTCTTGATTTAGTAAAGTAGATAAGTAAAAATAAAATGTATTTTTAGTATAGTGAACAATTAAAAGTGAACGGATGGAGTAATAAACTGCAAACGCATTTAAGGATGTGGCCTAGTAGTCAATGAATTGAGTTAAGATCAACTAATCTCATCTTCAAATTCCAATACGTGGGAGGTGACACTAGCAGGTACCCGTGAAATTAATCAAGATGTGCCAAGCTGGCTCGAACACCATAATTATAAATAAATAAATAAATAAATAAATAATACAAATTCACCTCTCTAATTTATCAAAATGATGTATACTTCAACTTATTATTGGAGAAGTCATTTTGGATAGGTAGTTGTTCATCATTACAAGGGATCAATCCTTATATGTCAATTAAATAACTAGGGAATTAACTAACTAGACTCTTTTTGTCCTTTAGTTTGTAGAAAATATAATAAAACAAGTAAGAAATAAGAAATGAATTATGAAAAAGGAGGGGAATCCTAGCCCATGCGGGTATTATAATAATGTAAATTTTACCTCCTATAGCAAAGCTTTATATCATATTTATTATAAATAAAAAAAAAATTAAAATATTATTTTCTATAGTTACATTTTAGTTTTTATAGCAAAATATATATTTATGGTCACTTCCTACCGTTAAGCCATTAAATACGCTGTCTAATATTTTTCTCTCTCATTCTTTCAGTTTATTCTGTCCCAAAAATCATCGTATCTTATTTCTCTATACACGATCTCACTCTCACAGCGCCATTGTCTTCCCCATTGTTGAACCACGATTCTCCTTTATTTGCAGGTTCTCTCTCTAAATTGTTCTCAAATCCTAGATCTCGATTTGCTGGATTTCATCTCTGTTAGCATGAGTTTCAAAATATCTTGATCAAATTTTCTGATATGAGTTGTATTTTTTCCCAAAGTGGAGCGGACATGGTCTGTTCATAGCTGAATTAATTTTGAATGTTGACATGGAAGAGGAAAGGACATAGGAGAGGGTGGTAACGGCAAATGAGATTAGGATTAGGTTTGGGGAAATGGATTAAACCATTCACATATAACCATGGAATTGTATTTGCAGGTTCATCAGCAACCATTGAAGCCGAAAGGAGAACAAAAATATGCAATGACCTTAATTGTAGAATTGTAGATGTATTTATATGTATTCGGGTCCGAATACATTGATTTTTAGTTTGTATAGTGAGTTTCTCTTCTTGTATTTAGATGTATTTATATGTATTCGATAAGGCATACACTGATTTTTATTTTGTACAGTGATTTTTGACTGTTGTATTTAGATGTATTTATATGTATTTGAGTTCATACAACAACATTTTTAAATACATTGTTAGTTATATCATTTTGATGTTATTCATCAATTAGTTATGCATTCAATCTAATTGCATTCATCTGTATTTTCAACCTAGTTATATCCATATGTATTTAAACGGAAAAGGGCCAAAAATGTCCTTGAACTATTTGAAATATCTCAAAAATGTCCTCCGTTTATTTTTGGTACCAAAAATATCCATGTCGTCTATATTTTGGACCACAAATGCCCTTAAACAGTTAGTCTTGCCATGTCACCTTCAATGGCAAGACTAACTGTTTAAGGGCATTTGTGGTCCAAAATATAGACGACAGGATATTTTTAGTACTAAAAATAAAATGAGGGCATTTTTGAGCTATTTCAAATAGTTCAAGGGCATTTTTGGCCTTTTTCGATATTTAAAACAACAATACAATGAAATACAGTAAAATACTCACAATACAATTAGAAAATCAATGAATACAACCAATGAAATATACTCAATAAAGCAGTAATACCATGTATTAGGAATAAATAAAATATTGTGAATACAAAATTAAATTTGAATACATTGAACACAACAGTTAGATACAACAGAATACAAGAATTAGGTTTATTATGAAATATGCAGGCAGTAGGTTACTATTACAGGTTATATCCGGCATAAATACATGATGTATTCATATACAGAAAATTAAATTTTAAAGTATTTCTGTAGATACTTGTATCAATCCCGAGCAGAACCTCGAACAATGTCAGAGAAAAAAAGGAAAAAAAAAACTCGAACTGTATGAGAAAAAAAATGAGGGATTGAAACTCTAAAGAATGCTCTATTTTTTGGTGTTTAGCGTCTGATAAATCTTCTCATTAATTGGATTGATAATGTTGTGTGTTATAATTGATTTAGGTGAGTTACATTAGGAGTGTATCCCGTTAAATTAGCAGCTTTCCGTTATTGACTCATACAGGGCAGTCCAGCTGTCAGCCGCTATTTGTATATGGTAGCTGTCAGCCGTTGTTTCCGTTTTAGCCGATTTTTGCTATTGTATTCATGAATACAGTAGCTCGAATATACCGAATACATTACCATAACAACTGAAAAGTAGCTACGGAAAGTAATTATGTATATGGTAGCTATAGAAAATAAATAGTCACTAAACAATAGTTATCTCTGAAAATTCCTCATAATATACACATAAGGATAAATTTTTCTCTCGGATAGCTTTTGTTTAACGCCTATTCGTCTTTAGGTTGATTTGTTTTCTTTAATTTCTTATTTTACTAATTGTAATTTGTAAAGAATCTCAAAATTCAGATGGCCCGGTGAGTAATTATCGACACAGTACATTATAGTATTAATTTGACAAAATATCTTTAGCTCACCAGTTACTGTTGTTTGGCACACACTGTTATTCTTGCTGGATTTCATATTTTCGTACTAAATGTACACTTTCCATACATGAAAATAGAAATGAGCACCAGGTAGTGGTCTATACCGAGTGTAACTTAGCTTCTCATACTTGTTTGTAAATGACAATCTCGAACAATAGATAGTACTAATTTATTTGATTATGCACATTTCCAGTGATATGTTGTCACAGCCCACACGAACATACTGTCTGAGTAATCGTGCCATTTGTGTACAAAGCAATTAGGATGGGCAGTTCGGATCAGAAGATGCGTTTTGGCAACAAACGAGA